CCGAAGGATCATCAGCCCGTAGCAGATGGTGATGACCAAGATGGGCACCAGGAAGGCGAAGATGAAGACGCAGATCTTGGTCACGGTGTCCCAGTAGATGGGAGGATCAGGAAACTGGAGCGTGCACAGCACCGTCCCCTCTGTGGGGCAGAGGAGGGTCGAAGAGGCCAACGTCAGAGATCCTCCCAACCCCTGGGGTGGACACGTCCCCGTGACGCCTAGCAGATGGTGATGACCAAGATGGGCACCAGGAAGGCGAAGATGAAGACGCAGATCTTGGTCACGGTGTCCCAGTAGATGGGAGGATCAGGAAACTGGAGCGTGCACAGCACCGTCCCCTCTGTGGGGCAGAGGAGGGTCGAAGAGGCCAACGTCAGAGATCCTCCCAACCCCTGGGGTGGACACGTCCCCGTGACGCCTTCCCCTGGAACCTGCCCGCTTCCTCGAGATGCCCAGAGCTTCCTTAGCAGCCAAGGGCTGGTGCCCTCACACAGCCGTGGGTCTCGGTGTGGGCCAGCTGAGGACTTTGCAGTATCACTGGGCGTGTTTGAGGGCACCTGGTTTGCACCCCAAGAGCTGGGGAGAGGCACTGGTTGGACTGGAGATGGGGAAGGGGGAGGACAACCTCTGGGACAGTTTCCAACCCCTGCAGCCAAGATGGACAATAACACTGGGATCATTTTGCCACGGCAGGGCTTAAGGTCCCATGGAGGGGTGCCCATCACCGAGCCCAAACCTGCTGCAGGACCTTGTGTTTTCCAGCTCACCCCCAGGATGGGCAGATGGGACAAGATGCGACAGGCTGGGACCTTCCCCCAAAAGCCACTTACCTTTTGACTTGGTGACTGCCATGACCATGATGGGCACCCCGATGAGGGAGGAGAGCACCCAGATGCAGACGTTGATGACCTTGGCTTTGGCCGGCGTGCGGAAGTCCAGGGCCTTGACCGGGTGGCACACGGCGACGTAACGGTCCACGCTCATCATGGTGAGGGTGAAGATACTGGTGAACATGTTGTAGTAGTCGATGGAGAGCACGACCTTGCAGAGCAGCTCCCCAAAGGGCCAGGTCTCCATCAGGTACTTGGCGCTCTGGAAGGGCAGCGTGCTGGTGGCCAGGGCGTCTGCCAGGGCCAGGTTGAAGATGTAGATGTTAGTGGCTGTCTTCATCTTGGTGTACCTGGGGGAAGGAGTCGTTGCAGGGGGTCAGGGCTTACTGTAGAACGTTTGGAATGGTTTGGGTTGGAATCTCCATGCCCAGGGATGGACATGTTGAGGAGCCCTTGGGGTCTTCCCTTGGCTGCTCGCAAGGTGCCACCACCCTTGGTGGGCAGAGGGACGTGCTTGTGATGTGCCCTTCTGCAGCACCCACGGGCTCAGCACCTCCCCAGATGGACCAGGGAGCACGTTGAGAAAGTGTTTGAGTTTGGGTGTGGTTTGGGTGCGTGTTGGAGCTCTGCTGCCTGAGCACAGGGTTGCACTGACATGTGCTGAGCTGGGGCTTATCGAGAACCTGCCAAACATGGCTTGGAGCCTGCTGAAGCTGTTAGCCCTCAGCTGAGCAGGGAGGTGACACTCATTCCTCTGGCTGCCTTGGTTCTAAGGAAATCTGGAGAAAAGTTCAGAGCAGTCACTCCTCCAGTTGAATCGATTTACTCCATTTCCCTGAACCAGTTGCACAACGTCCTTTACCTCCTGAAACCTCCTTTATCTGATTTTCCACCCAGTAAATCGTGATTATCCAACCTGCTTCCCTGTCGAGTTTACTTGCAGAAATTGGATCAATTACCCCCGGAAAGAGGCCATCTGGAAGCAGCCCAATTAGCCAGGCTGGAGCTCCAGGGCCTTTGGGGAAGCCTGGCTGCCTTGGCCACGGCACGGGGCTCAGGGGCAGGGGGATGATTCCCCGGGGCACTTGGCAGAGGGCTGCAGCTGATGGTGTGCCAGCTCTGGTCCTCAGACCCTGTCCTGAGTGCCAAAACCCTTCCTGAAGGGATGAGGCATCGCTCTGGGGGGTGCTGGGGCTGGTGGGGATGGTCTTGGAGCATCCAGACCTGCAGGTGTTGCTCAAGGTGATGCTTGGGATGGTGTGATGCCCATCACTGCTGTCACTGGGTGCTCAGGGGTTCCCAAAGGGCAGCACGTTGGGGTTGGGTTGGGAGCAGGGGCTGACACAGCAGAGCTGTGCTGTCCTGCAGGGGCCTGGGCAGGCTGGAGAGCTGGGCAGAGAGGAACCTCATGGAGTTCAACCAGGGCAAGTGCAGGAACAACCCCCTGCCCCAGGACAGGGGAGGG